AGAAGCTCCTGCTATGTTACAGTCCACTTTAAAGGTACCAGGAGAATTGCTTAGTGAAGAAGAGCTCATCTAAGCCATTTCTAAGGCTGTACAACGTAAGATAAGAGTTTTTGGAACAATAGTTTTGAAAGGAATAATGACGAACACCGAAAATTTATGATCCTCTTTTCGTCTTCGATTTATGATCTATTGCTATGTGAAGTTTATAGAAAAGTTGCAGAAATGACAATGGAGAATATTAGGACTGCAACTACAGCTGTTGTGGAGTCAGATCAAAATTATGTTTACTTCCGTTTGGTGGGGCAACATTGGCCAGTGTGCTTCATGGTCGTTACAGTGATGTTAAAAAAATGTAGTACTGATAGAAGGGATTGCCTTTCTGAAGAAATCAGAAGACTGCAGTCCATTAATACTGAAAATAAAGGTGGCATGCCTGACTATTTAAAGTATCGAGATAAAGGCCATATGTATTCTGCCAATCCAATTTTTATACCATTCTTCAGAGCAGTCGATGAGTGTATAAAGAGTGTCGTGAGTGAAAAAGGAATTGAAGAACATGGTGATAAGCTTGTATAGGTATAGTCATTTTAAAACAAGATTTATAACTTTGATGGTACCTTTCATAGATGGCACATATACCTTTTGGTGAAACAGAAAATTTAGAAACAATATATCTTGAATAAGTGAAAAGAAAATTCATCTGGAAACTGAAACAGTAACGCAAGCTGCAAGTAATTTTTATGACAAAATGGTATGAAAACTTTCAAATACTTGGATTCAAGATTTTATTTCATGACTGAAAGAAAAAAGTGCGTCAGGAAAAAGTCAAGCATCAGCTACTGGACAAAATCTCCGTGACAAGTTACTAACATAAATGCACAGTCTCAAGTAAGTTTGTAATGTTTTTAGTTTCAAAGATAAGCTTTAATCAATTTTTTATTATAATCTTTTTCAGTTAATGGTAGAGATGGCATTGCTAACTCGCTATTCCTATAATCTTTACCACTGTGATGAGTTAAAGTAACGTTCTTTTGATAAGTGAAGCACCTCGGCTGTAGGAGTAGTTTGCAGCATCTAATTTCTAGTGCCGGTCTATAGTATCGATAGTGATCACTATCGTGATAGTACAGTACTATCACTATCGCAATAAATGCTTAAACATGGAATACCAAGTGGCATATGTAATGTGTATGCACACTGTATAAACATGTGCTTGCTTAGGATTAATTAAAACAGCAGATCGTTTCTTGTTCCCTTCCAAAATGACATCTGCTGGCACCTAGTGGTGCTACCAGAAAAGTTTGGGATTATTTTGGGTTTTTTACAAGAGATGGTAAGTAATGAAGCCACGTAATAAATGAAAAATTTAGGTAAATTTAAATTTAAGTTACTTTATTCAACCGGATAAAAAAGAAAGAAAACAAGGACATTGCAAGCTTTGCTCTAAAGTATTGAAATATTGTCGGAACACCAACAGTATGAGGTTTAATGTACAGTCCAGCCACAGATTCGAAAAAAAGAAAGAAAAACCAGTGACTAAAAATCAAACTATACAGAACATGCTTACACACACAACACCACTGCTATGAAACTGCTCTTGATGGAATACCATTACACAGTCGATCTGTTACTTTCTAGCTAAGGACATGCAACCAATAGACACTGTTAATGACATTGGTTTTCAATCGATGATTAAAAAGTTTGAGCCATGCTACACTATACCAGACAGGAAAACCTTTTCGGTGACCTATTTGCCTCAGATGTATGATACTAAGAAGAAACGCATCAGCAACCTCAATTTTTCAGCTTCATTGTACTCATGTACCACAGACATTTGGATGTCTCGAGCTCAACATGCATACATTAGTTTGACTATTCATTACCTTGCTGGAGATTTCACTTTGCATAGCCGCTTACTGGAATCCAATGAATTTCCAGACTCTCATTCAGGAGTGAATATTGCTCAAGAGCTCACCCAGAATCTTAAGGAGTGTGGCCTCACTATGGATAAGCTAGTTTCATTTACTACTAATAATGCCAGGAAGAACTGGAATGCATACGAATGCCATGTTTCAGCCATTGTTTAAACTTGCCTGTGGAAAAGGCCTGCTCCATTGCTGAAATGTGCAGTCATTGCTTGATGGCATAGTTTGGTCACTCACTTCCACCATTCTTCCAAGGATACAAACATCTTGAAGCAAAAGCAAACAGACTTGCATATTAAGGAGCACAACTTAATTTAGGATGTTACAACGAGGTGGAATTCCTCGTACTATATGACTGCTACAGTAGTAGAGCAATAGCAGCCATTATGTGCAGCATTACTTGAGGTTAAACGGGCTGATCTTTTCCCCTCAGATGACAAATTTATAGCAATGGATGTCTACTTAGATGTGATGAAGCTTTGGTTACTACTACAGAAGCCAAAAAATTGTTGACAATTTCAACACTCAGACTACTTCTTCATAAACTCTTGAAATCGCATCTCATTGAAGAATCAAGTGACTTGAGTTTACTAAATAAAATAAAATCAGAAATGAATAACAACCCCAGCTCTCGATGCACTGATAACTTCTATAACTTTCCAAGGCAGTATTCCCTGATCCACATTTCAAGAACCATCCTTTTCTGTCACCCAATCAACTGCATGACCTTATTTGACAAGAGGCTGTACAAATAGCTGAACCGAATCAATCAGCAGTGGACGAGATCGAAATTGAGACTCACAGTGCAGCAGAAATGCCTCCTTCAACAAAGAAAGCAAAAGGTGAATGGGAATTTTTTAAATTAATATGTGATGTAATGCATGCAGAATCAGATGTATCACAACCCACCTTATCTCGTCAGCAAAAATCAGCTGCAAAAGTTGTAATTTATTAATCGGAGCCAGAGACAACTGAAAACCCATTGCTGTGGTAGAAACTGAACAGTTTTTGGTATTCCATGTTGTCTATTTTGGCTAAGAAATATCTGGCAATACCAGGTACTTCTTTGCCATCAGAGAGAGGTTTCAGTGCTGCTGGCCATATTGTTAACAAAAAAAAGGCATGTCTTTAACCAGCTTCAGTCAATATAGTAGTTTTTTTGTTAAAGAATCTCTCTTAAGTGAACATTGTAAATTGATACAAACAAATATCTCTTACGTTTTTAGTCATGTCATGCTCTTTTATAATTTGAAATATTGTTGACACGTAAATATCGCGATAATATTAACAATAGAGATAGTTTTGTGACTCTCGATCGTAGTAGTACTATTGCCCAGTACTACTAATTTCCCACCTGCACTATATTTAAACTGGCTAAACAATGACTCAACTGCAGATCCTGTAATTCTGATGGGTACCATGTAGTAGCCTGGGTATTTTTTTAAGAAAATATTTAAGAAAGGGATTAAAATCATAGACATCAATCCGCAAAAGATCAAAAGCTATTATAAAATGATGGAGAATAAGTAAATGATTTAATGTAAATAAATAATTAGTTATTTAATTTGCCAAGATAAGAAAATTTTTTGAGCATTGTTGCTTATTTGGAAACTTGGATCTAAAATTGAATTAGTCAATAAATTACAACCATGGCATGTATATACCATTTTCTCATATCTGATCAAACCATGAAGCAAAGAAGCTGTACCCAACATTAATAGATTTTAGGACCTTTGATTCAATGCTACAAATTCTTCCATGACTTAAAAACACATTTTCAAACAAGTTGTTGCATGCTTCCAAATAAGATAAAACTGCCTTTGATCCGTCTGCAATGCTCCCTTCATTTCTATGCACAAATTGGAATGTTTCAGATAGCATATTATCTTTTTATAACGTAAATACAAGTGCTTGTAGCCTTGTGTTAGATTACTAAAACTGACCTGCATGACTTTACCTGGTGTGACGTTTAGTTTTGTCCATGCATCTCGTATGACATGACTCTCAGCATAGGAACCATGCATGTCAACTCTTTGCTCATTCTTTGACACTCACTCTGAAACGTCATAGACAGTGAATTTCAACCAAAATTAACATCATCAATAACAAAAGCTTTGGTACCATGAGGCTTGGATGAAACGAGAGCATTGATCATAATCTTCAGTTAAATGAAAGAAATTTAAATAGAAATAAAAAAAAAATGCCAAAGATGTATTTACTTCATGAGTCGGACATATAATAAATCGGATTAAATGGATTGAATGGATTCATCATAACAGGTTCAACTGCATACGGATGTATTTCATCTTTAATAAGGCAATTAACATAGGCAGCAGCTCAATGCTGACTAACCTTTCAAAGAGGATATACACCTGATGTTCCATGGCTAGCTTTAATGAGGGACAAATTGCTAGAAACACCATCACAAACTAGCAGTGACGTAGATAAACAATGCAATTGAAACAATTTCACAGTTTCTAGGACACAAGAAAGGGTGAATTTGCAGTCCACAGTGCCACTGCTGGTAAAATACGGACCAACTGTGTCAAAATTACTCGTGAGGTCTCTCCAAAGGAACTGAAGTATGTGGTTGTTCCAAGATGGAATATCACCCTCATGTGTCTGAAAGATATAGCAAAGTGAAGACATTTTTTCCTTCCTCATACTTAAACCAATCAACTTTTGACTCCTGCTATTCCACATAAATCAATTAATGACTTTGACCTCATCAAAAATTAATAAGCCATCATTCTTTGATGACTCCTTCTTTCCTTCTAATTTTAATCTCTGACAATGTAGCACAAATTGTGCTAGCTGCTTCTCTATACAGGCACCAGATTCATGAAGAAATGCTCCTGTGTATGCTTGCAGAGTCAAATGACAAGGAAGTTGTAGGATAGCAAATGACTCCAATGCCTCATATGCTGCTGGAGATTGAGTATATACTGTCAAAGCTATGTTATAAGACAAGCCATTACAGACAGAAAAGACCCATCTAGTAATGGTTAATTTGCGGAAGTATCCGGTGTTGCTTCAAAATAACACTGGAAGCTAGTGATACCGTTAATATTGGCAATGTTGGTAATCAGTGCAGGTAATGCCAGTAATGCAGGTAATGCTGGTAATGCTACTAATGTAGGTAATGCTAGTAATGCAGGTAATGCAAGTAATGCAAGTAATGCAGGTAATGCTAGTAATGCAGGTAATGCTGATGATGCTAGTAATGCTGGTAATGCAGGTAATACTAGTAATGCTGGTAATGCTAGTAATGCAGGTAATGCTGGTGATGCTAGTAATGCTGGTAATGCAGGTAATACTAGTAATGCTGGTAATGCTAGTAATGCAGGTAATATTGGTAATGCTGGTAATCTTGGTAATCAGTGCTAGTAATGCAGGTAATGCAAGTAAAGCTGGTAAAGTACGTTATATTAGTAGCACTGGTAATGCAGGTGATGCTAGTAATGCTGGTAATCCTAGTAATGCAGGTAATGCTAGTAATGCAGGCAATGCTAGTGATGCTGGTAATCTTTGTAATCAGTGCTGGTAATGCAGGTAATGCTAGTAATGCTAGTAATGCTGGTAATGCATGTAATGCAGGTAATGCTGGTAATGCACGTAATGCTTGTACTGCTAGTAATGCAGGTAATGCTGGTATGCTAGTAATGCAGGTAATGCTAGTAATGCAGGTAATGCTAGTAATGCAGGTAATGCTGATGATGCTAGTAATGCTGGTAATGCAGGTAATACTAGTAATGCTGGTAATGCTAGTAATGCAGGTAATGCTGGTGATGCTAGTAATGCTGGTAATGCAGGTAATACTAGTAATGCTGGTAATGCTAGTAATGCAGGTAATTCTAGTAATGTAGGTAATGCTAGTAATGCAGGTAATGCTACTAATGCAGGTAATATTGGTAATGCTGGTAATCTTGGTAATCAGTGCTGGTAATGCAGGTAATGCTAGTAATGCTAGTAATGCTGGTAATGCATGTAATGAAGGTAATGCTGGTAATGCACGTAATGCTTTTACTGCTAGTAATGAAGGTAATGCTGGTATGCTAGTAATGCAGGTAATGCTAGTAATGCAGGTAATGCTAGAAATGCAGGTAATGCTAGAAATGCAGGTAATACTAGTAATGCTAGTAATGCAGGTAATGCTAGTAATGCAGGTAGTGCTGGTAATGCTAGTAATGCAGGTAATGCTGGTAATACAGGTAATGCTGGTAATGCTGTCGTAATACTAGTAATGTGGGTGATGCTGTATAATGATAGTGATCAATACTAAACTTATTACTACACTTTTATACATTTTGCTAATTAATTTTTAAATGTTTTATAAGGACAATAAAGGAATAATTACAGGTTCACCATAAAGTGGTATGAAATACCAGACTTTAATTCAAATAATATTTGTACAAATTTTCATCTATTATTATCAAGACTACTATTTTTTTTGATATCATTTTTGTGATGCATAGTTGGTAAAAAAGGGGCAAATATTTTTCCATTCCACAAATTGTCAAAGAAATGTTTCTTCTTGAAACTATATATACCCTATATACCGCAAAGCGGAAAAATTTCATGGCCCAAAATTTTTGTGAATTTCGCAATTTTTCAAAACCTACGGAAATAAAATCCGCGAAAATCAATTTTATACGGTTTAAGATGGCTTAATTGTAGAAAACCACGAAAATTAAAGCCACGAAATTATTTTTAAAGAGATCCACAAAAATTTTGTGCCACGAAAATTTTTCCACTCTACTGTAGTGGTGTTGCTTGTCAAAAATTATAGCATTTACTCACTTGTCATTCTAATAATTATCATTAATTTGACCTTTTTTATTCGTAATGTCTTTTTTTCACTTTAGGGAGGAAAGAGAAAGTTGGTGCCTGTGTAGTGCTATTATTGACCACAGTGACAGTTGTAGAGACATCTCTCTCTTTAGGTGTAACAACACAAAGCATACCATAAAAGGAGAAACCTATCTTTAAATAAAACACCTGTTCTATAAAGATCTTTAATACATATGTTTCATGCTGAGTTATTAAACCATGCACCATCAACATCTCTAATCCAATATATCCTTTTCACTGATTTTATGTTTTTTACATTATCATTATTTTTAATAATTTGTTATTTAATATTACATGAACAATACTTAGTAAACACCAATAGTTTTTAATAATAGTAATATTGATGATAATAATAACAATTATGACAATAATGATAGTAATGATAATGATAAGTTTCAATAATAATCAATAACAATAAATAAGAAGAATAACAACAATAATAATGACAACAATAATAATAGCATGGACAGGGGAAGAAAGAGGGAGAAAGGAGAAGAAAGGAAAGGCTTAAATTCTTAAAGAAAAGATAATTTGGAACTGTATGTTTAATTGTGTTATATTTACTTTGAGCAATCTTGACAAATGGTATTTGCTAAGCTGTTTTAAGTAAATTAGTGCATTCTTTGTGTACCCACAGTCTGCATCTTGTACACTCCATTGAATCAACATTTTTAGTAGAGGACTAATGATCTACTTCATGGCAAACTCTACAAACTGTTGATTCCATTTCTTTGAGCTGTTCCCTAATAGATTGTTTATGGTCGAGAGTTGGCTTGGAAGCGGTGAGTGCCGTCAGCCTTTTCCTCTTTGTAGTCTGAAAACTTCATTGAGGGACAATTTTTGCATTAGTAGCAGGTCGTTTTCTAATTGAAAAGGCTACTAAAACTTTTATTTTTGCTTCCAGGATTGTATTGCATGATTTTAGATAAGAGTTTGCCTCCCCTAATTTAAATTCATCATCAACAATTAAAGCAAAACATTTAACTTTGTCAATATTCTTTTAAAATTCATCTTTAGAATACTTTTCTTAGTAGATTCTTTAAAGTAGGAGCTAATTGACTTTGACTCAACAACAGGAGTGGGGCTGCCAATGGAATCCTTGCTGGGCACATTTGGAACAAAGTCACTTACTCCACTAACTGGTGGCAATGTAATAACGACTTCACAGTCAGTTGCAGCAGCATGCCATAAAACGGTACCCAGTACTAGTTGCAATACATGTATTTGCTTGCATATTGTGACACAGGGCAACATCCAAAAAGGTACAACTAAATGCATGAATACATACATTGCATTCATCACACATTAATGGGCAACAATCACATATCTTCACTTTTACAACATCATAATAACTTTCGTTTCTTTCGAACCTCACCTTCCACTTTCCTTCCTCTTCGCAATTCAGTACAAGTTCATGATTGTTACCTGTGCTAACCATTCCACATGCAGTAGAATGCCTCCTTTTGATCCTTTCTTACGATGCGTCACTTTTCCAACCTTGTCTTTTCTCAATTAATTAAATATTACATCTCTATTGATCTTAATTAAAGTGAAAAGAAGGTAATCTATTCTGTGATTTTGTTTGTGTTCAAAGTAAACCATTTTCACAACTCTGTGGATGACTTTAGTACTATGTTTGCGTTGACTGGAGTTTGGATAAGATGACAGCATGCCCACTGCTCCACACAATTAACATATTGTAATACAAAATAACTATGAAATCGTGAAAATGTAGATTCAAAAAAGCTAAGGGCTTTTCATAGAAGACTATGAAATGTTGCTTGATCCAGCTCTGTTAGCAGAACTTTGAGCATGTAGTACAAATTAATCTTTTCACTACTGTTGCCAATGTGTTCCTGAATACCCTTCACCCCGCTCTGTCTCCATGCCACATGCGCAATAGCTTTTGTCGAACCTTCCCAAAAACGCCAATCTAGGCATTAGAGTATGCTTAAGCATCGTCAGACTTAAATAAATTTGTGTGGTTTGAAAAACTGTGTCAGTGTACATGAATCTTCTTTGCTTGAGATAGCCAATGCCACTGGAACTCCCTCACCATAGCTGTCTATAACCATAACAGTAATCAATAGAAAGTTGAAAATGTTGCTGCTGTGAGTTTCATCAATACAAATGACATCATTGCCAAATTGTTTCATCATATCCCTCTGAAACTCAGACTGAATGCAGGGCAAAAAGCATTCTTTTGGTATGTCATCAATTTCTTCCACAAACTCACCCTGAGGTTTAAAGGCCAATATTGCATTGTAACCATTCTCTGTTTCCCTTAACTCTGCTACCCACATTGCTGTACTTGTGCTGTCGTTGGTATGTTTGTGAATATTATGCAAGTTGCTGATATCCTGGCGTACCATTAAATGTGTACGTATTATATGCTTTTCCGAAGATGCGTCCCTTATGTTGTCCATGATTCTGGTCACAGAGACACCTTGTAGCTGCACTGTAATTTGTGTTTTTATGTCCTCAAGAATAGGAAGATGACACATCAAATGCATGTCCGGTGTGAGATGGAATGTAAGTGATAGTACATGAACTACTTTTAATGCATTCCTCAACGGTTATACGTGACAAACAAGTCCCATCAATTTTTGAAGACTGCTGGCATTTCATGCTTCTCTCTCCCTGGCCCTTTCCTGTACAAAAACCTGACCTGTTGCAATAATAATGATGACATATAGTGCTAGTTATATTTGTCCACTGTGCCAAACCCAATATGATTTGTTTAATTCCTCCCCTTTTTTCTACGTTAAAAATTTCTAAAAGTTATTAACTTGTAGCTTTCTGGTTTCAATATCCTTGCCATGATCTTTTTGCATGTGTAATGCCAGGTTATCTATACGATGAAACCTAAAATTATTTAATTATAGTTATTAATTGTGCACTATTATTTTGTTTGTAACCCTATTTAGTGTTTTCATGAACTTTGCACTCATTTTGTTATTAATGGAGTCATTTGTGACATAATCCCCTACATTAAATAATTAGGCAAAGTATCACTATGTGATTTTTTAGTTGAAATATCTAACACATATGCAATTTTTCGACTTTAGTATTTTGGAAAAATTTACAAAATTTAAATCACAAAATATAAATTGCTAATAACAGTGTCGTGATAACATAAAAATTGTAAATAAAATTTTTATTCGCAAATACAAAAAATGCAGTCAAATTGCAAAATTTTAAACCCACAAACTATATGGCATATATGGTTTTTTTGTTTTCCTTTAATTTACTAAAAGTTTTAAAGTAAATAAATAAATTAAAGGTTATTGAACAACATATGTAGCTAATGGGAGTGAATAAATAGGTTGTGGCAAGTACATGCATGGTTTGTGGTGCAATAAATTGTAATCAGTTTAGACATCTCTAATCAAAAAAATAAGAAATGCAACAGCTAGATATACACATTGCAACCAGTGAGTATTCTTACATTATAATTATTTTGTAATCTGCACCATTTCTAAAATTACTATTACATAGAGTGTTCTATAGTACATGGTGTTGGTCCATTACAAAATGTAAAGTACACATTTTTGTTAAGTACAATATTTGAAGTCATATGTGCAAAAATATGGGAGAATGACACCTACAGCAGTAACTATTCAAGTCAGTTTAGCACTTATTGAGGGGATATTCTAAAGTAGATTAATGACACCGGTTTTACAATAGAATCATTATAATTGATGTAAGCATTTAACTGCACACTATATTACAAAATCACATAAAACTTATGTGAAACAGGAACCAGGGGCTTCTTTCTTTACTCTAACAAGGAAACAGGAGTTCTGAGGATATGACTCACACACTACCTCAGCAATAAATTAAAAACTGAAATTGGATAGAGGAACATATACGCCTACTCTGTAGATGCCAAAAGTTCTGTTTTCCAAATCATTAAAGCCTGCGTGTAGTCAGTGGATAATAATTGTTCAGTGGATCATAATTGTTCTGTGGAATATTCATGTTACAGTATCTTACCAATTTTAGTGTTGTCAGCAAAAGAATTATTTTCCTTATCCATTATTTCCCAGACCAGTCAAAAGATGACTTTGTAGTATTTGGCGAGACAATAAAAGAGAACACACAGACAAACCTGATGAGACTAATAAAACCTGACTATGATACTCCTGCAAGGCTGCAATGTGCTATCTTTATGTTGGCGCGTACCAATGCGCATGCACGTAACACATAACACATTGTTGTAAAACTAGACATAAAAAATGGTAGTGTAGAGTAAAAATAGCTTTCATTTTTGGAGAGCTTGCAGAACTGCATCTGTTAACTAGTAACTTAACTTACGCTAATCCTGTGCATCCTTTTTAGAATTTAATTTACAATTTTACTGACATCTTTTGTCATCATAAATTATAGTGATAAAGCAAGACAATCACTTTTCAACTATAAATGGCCTGAGGATGTTATGCTCGTAATTTCTGTATTTATGCTATGCTTTAGTGCCTAATGATGGTTTAATCATTGTTTTACATTGATTGCTATTACTCTCACAATTATTTCTCAAAAATGTAAGAAATTAATCTAGCAGTGCTTGGGAAGGAAGGGGAAGAGGGGGCAAGGTCATATGCAGTGGTGTGGCTAGAATTAATCAAAAAAGAGCTAGGGCACAGTGGGGGCACGGAATAAAGCAATGCTCATGAATACTAAATATAGCAAGCTGAGTTGAGTCAGTTCAGTCAGTTGTAACTTGTATGTCTTCATCAGCAATACTGTATTACCAGGCCCTTCCACAAAAAATTAGCAATATTACCCACATTACAAGTATTACCAGCATTATCAGTATTACCAGTATTACTAGCATTACCAACATTACTCACATGACCAGCATTATTAGTATTGCCAACATTATATTACCAGCATTACCAGCAATGATTACCAACATTACCAGCATTACTTTCATTACCTACATTACTAGCATTACCTGTATTACTAGCATTACCCACATTACCAGCATTACCAGCTTTACCAGCATGACCTGCTTTCCTAGCATTACCTGCAATACCAGCATTACCAGCATTACTAGCATTACCAGCATTACCAGCATTACCTGCAATACCAGCATTACCTGCATTATTAGCATTACCTGCATTACTTGCATTACCAGCATTACTAGCATTACCTGCACTACCAGCATTACTAGCATTAAATGCATTACCAGCTTACCTGCATTACTAGCATTACCTGCATTACCAACATTACCTGCATTACTAGCATTACCTGCATTACTAGCTTTACCAGCATTACTAGCATCACCTGCATTACCAGCATTACCTTCATTACTAGCATTATAAGCAATACTAGCATCACCTGCATTACTAGCTTTACCTGCTTTACCAACTTACCTGCAACACTAGCATTACTAGCATTACCTGAATTACTAGCATTACCTGCATTACTAGCATTACCAGAACTGATTACCAACATTGCCAATATTAATGGTATCACTACCTTCACTATCACTAGCCATGCTCCACCTCTTTCCTCTTTTTCCAGTGCCTATTTGAATAGAGATTGATAATTAAATTCACGTTTGTTAAATACTTCACTTACTGCTATTGCTCTGATCTTTTCCAAATTATTTCTTTTCACACTGTTTACTAACATCTTGCTTGCAAATATCCTTTAATTTATAGCCAACACCATGCTTGTCCCCTACATGAATTTCGCTGACAATTTATATATAACAATTTATGTATAAAATGTACCTTCTATAAATAATTTCTCTAACTTGTCCACATGATTGGATTGAATAATGAATGTAATCGAACATGTTTCGTGACTTTGTTCATCATCCAATGATACTTGTGTTTTAGTATAGCAAAAAACTTCCTTCAAATTTTTTTGTTCATTTTGTTGGTTAGCTCACTTCTCCAGGCTTCCTGGAGACATGTGACGTAAAAGTGCATTCAAAGAGCTTTGCTCTTGTGATACTCGCTTTGATGGACTTTCAAATAACGTCCTGTTTAACTGATGTTGAAGATAGCACTTTTATCTTACATATGCTGGACACATGACACTCTTAGCTACTCATTCTTTAGTACATTTTACTGATAGTTCAAACCAAAGCAAGCACCTGACTGAATCCACACAACCGAATCGAGCAAAAGTGTGGACGCTCTAAATGTTGGAACAAATGACTTCACGTATTTCATCAAACTCCATTGGATTGATACCTGAACAAGATCTATATACGGGAGAATCTAAAGAATACTTTCTGCATATCTCTAAAACTTAATATCTGGACTTACTGAAGGCAAAACTCCCTGCTGAATCTCCCTCAATAAGACATGTACGACATACTTATTGCTAATGATCATTATTCTTACACTTGAGGTTGGTCTAAGTGGAAGATGATCATAGAGCTTCTCATGAGTTATAATCAAACATTTCTTGTCACAAGAAGTGTGTTTCACAATCAAAAATCCATTTAACTGGCTATAAAGAGATTGATACAACTGATCCATATCCATGAGAGCCATTTTAATATTATAGTTAAAGAATGGACATGCCAGAAACTGCAAGATCATTATCACTTATGAGCCTAATTAGAGTATGCAGGCATGTGCTAATCATGACCGTGTAAAAGCTACGTGCAGTTATCACAAGCTACATAGGGCAGTTAGACACTCTCCCTAACCCCTTATGTACTCTTGATACTAGAAGTAATGTAGAACATCAAGGGGTGAGCCTAAGCTAGCAAAGCCATCATAGCACTGGATTTATCCATCTATGATTTACTCCTGATAATTTCAAAGCATGCATCATGATTTTGGCATAGCAAGCATGCATGTACATCATGAAACCTAACGATAAAATCACTTTAGACCATTTTTTAACTTTTAGTCTTCTAATTTAACATACACATTTCTTGCCTAAAAATGTCTGTAAAGATTCTTTCCTTAGCTTTAGATATAATATTATCGAATGTTAAGATGACCAAGAAGAGGCTTGAGTCAGTAACTTTCAGTTTTAATATCAATTGCATTAATAAAATTAATACAAGCTTCATTGCTTCTTTATTGAACATGAAGCCTTTTATAGTTGCTGAAGAAGTTTTTGGATGGTGTATCTGCCTTATATTGCAGTTATTGCTGATAGAAAACTCATCAATTCTTTCAGTCTCTTGGTTTTCATATATATTATACTGTGACCACTCCCGCTTTTAATGAAAAATTTAAAATTGACTTTATATTGCATTGGTAATGCATAGCATCTACGGTATTAGATCTACACATAAGTATGGGTGACGTAAGAGGAGGAACAGACAGACAGGGCATGACTGAGAGAATAGCTGGAGTGGGACGAGCTCAGGCTCACGCCACAGATCTTAATTTCTCAAACATAAGGCAAGTACTGGTACACCTATTGCTCTGACAGCAGTTGGATGAGAAGGAGGAGGTGGTGGAGGGCCTTTGAATTTAATGCAGCATATGCACAGGCATATACACTGTCTCTTCAAAAATAGCAGAAACATCAAAGCCAGGATGATCCTGATCGTCCTTTCAACAATTCTCATCATTAGTGCTTGTTGGTTTATACGCATGCTTGATTTCATTTCTCTCAAATACTACTAAACCACAGATGAAATTAATAATTCATTACAATGAATATAAATTAAATATTCAATTGTGCTATTTATAATAAAAATATTTTTAAAATTAGATATTTTGTTTCCGTCATTTTAATTAGTAGTTTATTTCTATGTTCTTACAGTTACATGTTCATATTAAATATAACATATAACACTTCACATATTTTATTCTACCTTCTTATATGTTGCTAATAGATCTATGTATAATTAATCTTTAAAAACCTTTTTCCTGTAGCTTTTGAAGAATACTTTCATTAGAATAAAAATTGGTATGTGTACTTATTTATATAATGAAAGTAAGGTAGAATAAGACAAAACTATCATGGTACAAATAAATGTTTTTTGTGAAGGCTAAATTTTTGATAAATTAAAAAATATTGTCAATTTAGTCTCGATCAAATTCATTTATCTGTTATATTTTAGGACAATTCAATCCTAGTAATAAAAAATTGATTGCACAAATTTAAAACCCTCACAAATTGTAAGCAGAATTGTACAGAAATTGTATAATTTCTTTACTTTCATTCATAATTCCACAGTTGATTTGATGCATTAAGATCAAAACTGAATAATAATAATAATAAATTATTATTAATAATACATTTGGCCCCAAAAATGTATCTTTCCATTATGTTGTCATTTGCCTTGCCAATCATTTCTAACTGCAAGAAAGGTAAATAAGTAATGACTTTTAGCAATTAAGAGCGGGAAAGTGAATCTTCAAATCCTTATTCCAATATCTGCAAGCAGACTGGTCACTGGTGAAATCAATGTTACTTGGATAATAATGTTTAATCTGCTCCAACTTCACTCAATGCTCTATAGTAATGATGTATGCTTTATCTAGTGTCACTTTATTCATAAAAATGAATTGTACTAAAAAATGGATATACAACAATGTGGAACTTAGTCTTTTCTATAATTAAACTTAGTCTCGTATATAATAGCTAGACCTGACTGAGACTCCCTTTTTTAATTATTGGACAGTGGTAAATTATTCCCCCAGTCTAATTATCAAAATGGTGGATGGGTCTGGCTATCCGAGACGACTATAACTAAACTAGATGTGGTCCATGACAACATAATTGAGCATAGATTATTAGTCACAATAATACCTAGATCAGGAGAGGTGTTTACTTTATTTAGTGAAACACCACCAACTTGATATGTTAGACCTTCCTCCATACTGTGAAGGATAGAAAATGACATGTGATAACATTTGTTCACATTGAGATTTAATTTGCAGTCATTGCACCACTTGAGTCAATATCAGATTGTAAAGAGACATCATCATTGTGAGAGTAGATAGTACGGAGAAATTTCATGTCATCAGCGAATAGAGAGACATCACAATATATCTTCTCAGGAATATTATTTGTATACATAAGGAACAAGAGAGGCTCGAGGACACTTCCTTGCAGAACACCAGACAAGACTGGCAAGTAGTCAGAAGAGACACTGTTGATAGTGGTGCAGTGGGAGTGATCAGTAAAGTATTCACAGAACCAGTCCCACAGTAGACCAGTGATCCCTATTAACTGAAGCTTAAGAAGCAGCTCCTGTTGAGGCACAGAATCAGAAGACTTTCGAAAATCATAAAACACAGTGTGTCACTGCCTCAGAGACAGTAGTGTATGAGGATAGCAGTTGAAGTGAACAAGACCTTTGTTTCAGGAAGCCAAATTGGCAAAATGAGAGCTTGGGCTGTTGTAGGAATTAATCTTGTCAAAAATGATAGATGCAAGAATCTTAGACATAATGCATAGCAGTGATATTGGTCTATAATTACCAACCTCAGATAAATGGTATGGCACAAATACTGTAACATTTCCATTCCCTAGTTATGGCATGATACATAAGACTGATT